GACAGCGGGGTGCCCTGCCCACTCCCTGCTCCACCCTGGCAGAGCGGTCCCCCATGCCTGCCTTTGCTGCCTCTCCCAGCACCACTTTGCCCCATCACACCATCCTGGAGCTGGGGTGTCCCTGTTCCCTGCTCACCTGCGAGGGACAGCTCGGTCCCAAAGGCAGTGAGGAGCGGGACTGGGGTGGGGTGCAATCCTCCAGGCATCATGATGGGCATTTTGGGGCCAACAGGATGTGTGGGGTGGGCTGCAGAACTGGGGGACACCCTGTGCTCTGTCCCTGCCTGTCCAGGTCACTACATGCACTTCGACACCAGCGTGCTGGGCCCAGGAGGCACCACTGCCCGGCTGGAGAGCCAGCACCTGCCTGCTGCTGCCGACTCCTGCCTGCAGTTCTGGTACCACATGGACATCCCGGAGCACCTCTGTAAGCACTGCAGGGGCGGGGAGGAGGTGCTGTCCCTGGGAAGGGGGTCACGAGCCCATGATGGGAGCAGGGTCTTGGTCAGGGGCTGCAAACCCCCTCCCCACCTGTGGGACCATGGACACTAGTTCAGCTCTGGCCGGGTGGTGGGGATGACCTGTTCCCGCTGGGTCCTGCCATCTCAGGAGAGGATGGCGTGGCCAGGAGGGCCCAGTGGCTCTCGGGAGGCTCCAGGCAGTCATTGATGCCAGGGTGTCTGTCCCTTCCTGCACATTGCAGCTTGTGGGGAGCTGCGGGTGATGCTGCACGGCATGGCGGGGCAGCGCACGCTGTGGAGCGTGGCGGGACACCGGAGCTGGGGCTGGCAGAGTGGCATGGTGCCTGTGCGGAACCCCAGCGAGTTCCAGGCGAGTGGGCCTGCCCTGGGGTTCAGGGCAGGGGCCCTTCCGGCGGGGTGCAGGGTATCCTCCCCATGTTTCACTCCCCCAGATCCCACCTTCCCCTGCAGATCATCTTTGAGATCACCACGCAGAAGTGGCCAATCGAGGGGACGGTGGCACTGGATGACATCGTGTACAGCACCGGGGGGGGCTGCCATTCCAGCCTGGAGGTGCCAGTGGAAGGTGTGGGGACAATTCTGACTGGGAAAGGTCAACCTGGCACCACTCAGGGTGCTGGCACCAAGGCTGGGGCTGGAGCCATCTTGCCTGGGCAGTGGGTTGAGCCTGGCAGCATCTCCTCCCCCTGCAGAGAAACCCTCCAGCAGCTTTGTGGCAGAGGTGGTGCTCAGTCTTCTCCTGGCCATCATCATCCTGGCACTGGTGGCTGCCGGAGGCCGTTACTGGCTGAAGCGGCAAGGGCTGGCAAGCAGGACACCAGCGGAGAGCAACACACCCCAGGGCTTTGACAACATCACTTTCCGAGATGTAAGGACAGGGGTGAAGGGCTTTCCCACTTGCCCCCAGCTGCGCCAAAACAGCATTTTCCTAAAAGCTCAGCAAATCCCAGCAGGCTCCCCCTGAGCCCACACTCTGCCAACACATCAGGGAGGTGCAAAGGGCTCTGTCTCTTATCTGGTTGCTGACAAACAAGTGACCCTGAGCTGTAGGACTGACCTAGAAATGCTGCTGCTGCCATCAGCCAGCTGCTTCAGAAAGAGCTGAGGCTGCGATCCTCCTCCCCAGAGCCCTGCAGGGAGTGGGTCATGCAAACATTGCTCATCCTCTTCAAGACAGCGACTCAGAACTGTGAGAAGCAGCTTAAGCTACAATTGCCTTCAACAGCTTTGGTGCCACGTAGTCCCCAGCAGAGCCACTGGCCCCAGGAGTGACCCCAAAAGAGGATGTAGAGCCCCCAGGTGTGCTGCGGGGTTTGGTTCCACTGCTGGGGTTGTGCCGGGCCAGCACACAGGTTCTCCCCTCTGCAGCCTGGAAGAAGTTCCTGTATTTCAGATTAAGACAGCCTACGCTTCTTGTAACCAATTCCCCTTCCCCTTTCTTTACAGGACAAGGTCATTATATCTCCAGTGCCAAAAGAGGAGGATGAGGATTGAAATAAGGAGCATAATTGCCTCCTCAGGCCTGCGAGGCGTAGGCAGGGCAGAGCATCCCTCCAGCCAGACCTCACACTCCAGCACCCACCTCTGGCTCTCAGCATTCCACACCAGGGAGCTGCACGGGTGCTTGTCATGGGGTGCCAACCCCCCAGAGGGACGGGCCACTGCTCCCACTGCCCCCAAGCGCTCGGGAAAAACGTTTTTGGCTTTTGTAACATCAACTTTCTGCACCAAGATTTAGTGCCGTGCCAATGCTTTGACAGGCGCCGTCAGCGGGAGTTTCTCACAGGGTGGTGGCTGTGGAGGGGGGGCGAAGTGCCCAGTCCTAGCCCCGCCAGGGCTGGGCAGGTCAGCGGGTGCTAAATCCCTTCCCACACCCAGGTATAAGCACAAGAGCTCCCAGCGCACAGAGCCACCACGGGGAGGAAGCCCAGTGCTTCTGCTGATTCTGCAGCAGGGGTTTGGGGAGGGCAAAGAGCAGGGGTGGGCCTATGCAGCACCCCCAAGGGCAGAGAGCAGCCCTGACCCTGCTGCACTGCCCACCCGCCTTTCAAGGGCTCTTGCACATAAATGTCATTGGGAAGAGACACCTTCCTGCACCCCAGGTACCCACACCTGCACCCACACCACCCTAAGCCCAGGACCCCTCTCCTCTCCCCCCAGCTTTCAAAACTATTTAAGACTGTGCAGCTCCTGAGCAGCCCACAGCCGACCCTGCTGCCCGAGTACAACAGCAGATGGACTGGCAGAGCCTTGCAAACCTGCTCTCCATTCCCCTGAGCAGCCCCAGAGGGAATCAGGGCATCCTGCTCCCCCAGTTGGTGACCGAAGCCTGCTTCTCCTCTCGCCAGCTGCAGACAGCCCCCCTTCCGCTCTGTCCCACTTAGGTTACGTCACAGCCTCCTCAAGCATTATCCCTACAGCTCCACCACAGCACTGTGGACTGACCCCAGCACAACCGGGCTTGGGAAGCTGGGTGAGGGCAGAGAGGAGAGATAAGGAGGGCTCAGGCTGCACACAAACACCTGGCTGTCTCCGTATCTGCCTGCTCTGTCAAATTCCCCAGAGACTCCACTCACAAGATGAAAGCTCAGTATTGATCTCATCTCTGGGCTGCAAGCCAAAGCTGCAGTCCACACCACCAGGGAAAGGAGCAGAGCAGGTGGGAGGGCTGTGGGGTCCTTACTCCAGACACCCCAGGTAGTCCTGTTAATCACACCCAGCCACAACTTTTACTACCAGCTGATAAACATGCAGCAACTACCCTGTGCAACTGAAGGGTATCAAACTTTATTATAGATCTCTTCAAAACAGGCTGGAAGGAACAAACAAAAATATCATTGCGATGCAGTGACTGAGTCATGATTTCCAATACAGACACTGATCAAGCCCCAACTCTCCCAAATTATTTATATATATAATTTCCCACCCATCCCCCAAATTGTTCCAATTAAACGATCATATTTCAGATCACCCCAAGTGTCTCAACATTAGCTGCTTCTAAACACCAAGACACACATGTTTTCTGGCAAATCAGATGTGGTATTTTTTGGGGGTTTAGTTCCTCAATCTCTGGAAAGGAGGAAGGAAAAACAAAATCACGAAAATTGCTTCTTTAAGGTTGCCTTTTTACAGCAGGTACAGATTCGGCAGATTTCCCCCCCAAAGCAAGTCTGAAACCCTCTTGTTCAGCTTGGCAATACGAAGAGAGATTCCGCTGGTTAAGGAGAACCAGCCAGACAAGATCAGTCTGAACAAACTGATTTCGAGGCTTTGTTGTCATTTCCCTTTGGGGCCGGTTTCCAGCGGTTTTCCAATATCCTTCCCACGCAGTTTAAGGCCTGGAATTAGACAAAGGAGACAACCACCATCAGCTGCCATCAATCATTCTCCTGATAACTTTATTTCCTCAAATTTTTGCTATAAGGAAGAGAACATCCAAAAAAGAGGACAGGTGAACCAGAGTTAGGGAGAATCCTACTTTAGTTTCTAAGAGCACCAGACTTGTTCCAGACAAAGCTCCAGCTCTTGCTTGTGCACCAACCACCTTCCCAGAAAAGGGTATCTGAACTTGCCTAGGAGAGTAACATCAACACCAGTGGTTGCAAGATACTTTCCCAAGTATAATCAGGCCCTCATGGGTCTCAGCATCTCATCGACTGTGGGGGGATGGCATACAGGGGTGGTCCCCAGGGCATGGCCCTACACATGAAGACGAAGGACAAAGGAGAACAAGAGCTTTTGAGTTCTGCTTTCAGTCAGCAGATCCAAGTTTTATCAGAACATGGCTTAATGACACCACACCCACAATAACCTACAGCCAGCAACTGTTCCTGATGTGGAAAATGTAACTAGCTTAAACAAAAACATCCTTCCTAGGCACTGAAAACAGGGTCATTTTATAAGTCTCCTTTCTTAACTTACCAATGGCTCTTTCGATCTTGCCCATAACCTGGTTATTGGGGATTGCTCTTCCTGACTCATAGTCAGCAATAACTTGCGGTTTTTCATTGATTTTCTGAAAAGAGAGAATTCATCTCAAACACTGGCTCCATACAGAGCAAGCACTCACCCCCCAAACTCACACAGATAAGTAACAGCCTCTAATTATGCCAGAATCAGAAGGCAAAGTGCTAATTCCTGGCTTATTCCACCACCACTTGCCTCCGTCCACTATTTGAGTGGTGACACTCATCCTGGACAGACTTCCTACTTCCCTCAGCCTCCCAGGAGGAGCAGTAACGCTAGGTATTGCTGTTCCTTAAGACAGCAGCAAGCTTCTGAATGCTGCGCCAGGCTTAGATGGTACAAAAAACCCCTCACACTGGTGATGAGTTGATGGCAGAAGGGGGGGGCAAAAAGCTTCCTACCAGCTCAACAGTCACAGCAACACTCAGTTGCCAAGCAGGTGTTCAAGGGCTGCACAGATAAACCCCCAAAACATTTCCTAGATAACTAATGTTGCCCAGAGATCAGATATCAGAGATGTTACATTCACTGAACTTCCTGCTCATGATACCATCCCACTGGAGCTGTCCATGAGGGGACAAGAAGAGCATTCACCTTCACCTTGAGGTGGCTAAACCCACCTCAGAAGAGTAGGAGCAGAGGCCAGAGGGCCCCAGGCCGTACTCACTGTGGCCAAGTCCTTCTGTGTCATGCCCTTGCTCTGTCGGCCCTGCTGGATCACTTTGCCCACCTCCAGGGGAACTCTGTCATGGTGCAGCTCTTCTGTTTCTCGGTCGAGCTTGGCTGTGTTCTTTGTAATAAAGTGTTGTTTGTTCTGGCCTGCTGCCCCTATCATTCAAAAAAAAAAAAAAAAAAAGGACCAAGGACAAACAAAACAAGGCTCAGAGCTATGCCAAAAAAGTATCAAAGTGCTTTTTCTAAGCGTTCAGCTGCCCAGAATCCCAAGGAGCTTTCAAGATTTCAACATGCTAGCATCAGCACTGATCTCAACCAGATCCTGCCCATCAGAGGACGTGTTATCTTAATCCTGTTAATGCTGATGTCTGAACACAGCCATACAGAGCCCTCCCCTTTCTCTACTTCACATCTGAACTTCACTCCAGATAGGCAAGACCTTGCTAGTGCTTGGGGATTTAATATTCAAACCACTCCAGAAATGCATGTTTGTGCTACAGTGTGCAGAGGTTAATATTTCTACTTGAACTGTGTTTGCTCAGGTACAAGGCAGCATGAGTAAGTGGCTTTTAATCAATTTTCTGACACCTTTCATAAGTAAACTCTAACCATCTTAGCTTTGCTGAAAGCTTGAGGTTCAAAACATGCCATTTGTTTTATCTCATTTTAGTTACTGTATTTAAGTCACAGTTTGAATCCTTTCTCTCACATTAGCCTCTGACATTCAGTCTCTTGATAAAGCTGACTAAAGATCGTTCCAGGTTCATCTATTTATTTATTTCCAACCATCATAAGCTCATCCCTATTGTGAAAGAACCTGAAAAATTATATCAGGCAGGAAACATTAAATTTTTAAAGAGCAACACCACAGGAAGACAGGCAGTCGCTGAGATCCTTAAACCTCTGTTACCAATGAATGAAGTAAGCTGCAAAAAATGAAAGTTTAAGTTTTGTAATTGTAAAAGCTCTTCCAAAAGCTTTGCAGACACTAGTCAGAGCCCAACTCTGCGCAAGCAGAAACTCTGAGAGGGGTACAGGGAGTACTCCCCACTCCCGCAGGAGTGCACACCCTCCCTGGGGCGTCTAGCAGATCTCAGGTCTACGTGGCCCTAGTTAGGGAAACCTTTGGCTTCGCGAGGGAGTGCTGCCTCCCGCACCCCCCCTCTTCCAGGTAACCGCCTTCAGGAGCGACCCGATGGGGCGGGCCCGGGGGATCAGACCTCACGCTGGGCTGGAACGGGTGGGGTCACGCACCATCCCGCTGCCGGGGAACGACGCCCGCGGGGCCGGACTCCCCAGGCCTTCCCAACCCCTGCCCAGGGAGCCAGGCCGCGGGATACCCACACTTCTTGGAGGTCTCCACGTCCTCTCCGCGCCGCTGGGCCGCCAGAATCGCCTGGGGAGAGTAAAGGTGCCGAGGTGAGCGCTCCGGTACTCGGAGCCGCCCCCTCAGCACCAGCCAGGCCCTGGCTGCAGATTCGCCCGGGCCTTCGGCCGCAGAGCTCGCCCGGGCCTCCGGCCGCGCCAGGCCCAACCGCTCC